TATACTTTCATAAAATCTATGCATGTACAAAAGCATAAAAGTACTTGTTACTAAAAATGAAAATAACTGAGTTAAATTGGAGAATCTTGAGGTGAATATTTTCTTTAATATATCCAGAATGTCACACAACACACAGCACTGGAAAATATGTTCCTCTACTTCATTCATTTATGTGTTCATTAGATATTCATCTTAGAAAGACACAAATATGTAGATAAACATAAAATCATATGTAAATAAAACTATAGAAATTTTTGTTAATTTCACAGATTTGCAATGATCCCTGAAATAACATGAAATACTAAGCAGTACTGTAAGATTCTCATAATAAAAAATTTTGAAATTAGTAGCTTAGAATTTCCTCCTTAGGACACATGATGCATGCAAAAATATATATAGTTTCATGTTCTTCACAATTAGCTGTGCTATATAAAGATTCAAAACATTTCATCCTAGTGAACATTAATTTCTTTAAAACACTTCAAAAAATTTCTTTAAAACATTTCTTTAAAACATTAATTTCTTTTAAAAAGTTTAGGCAGCAATTTTATAAAGGCCTGGAGTCAGAAAATGAAAATTTCTACTAACAATATAACAGGGACAATCCTTGTTGTTATAGAAGAAGCATTAGTGGGCCTGGTGATTTAGCTCAGTGGCACAGCACCTGCGTGGCAAGTACAGGGTCATGAGTTCGATTTCCGGTACTGGAAAAAAACCCAAGAAAAACAAAAGCATTAGGCTTTAATTTGGTTAGGAAGGATGTTGCACTTGGATCAAGCTCAATAGTGAGACAGAAGCACTTTTACAGCTGGCCTTAATCCTTCTGCTCTTTACATTTAGAAGGGACGAACTAGGAGAGGATGCTCTCAGCTGGGATTAAACTATATGTTGTTTTATTACAGAAGCCATGCTGTATAGAAATGAAATGATGTGGTAAGGGAGCTTCTGTATTTCTACTTTTTGTAAATACTTGCTAACTTATCTGCAAATTTACATTTTCTGACTAACTTCAAATGGCAAGAGAATATTTTGATACTGCATTTTGCAAATGATAAGTATCCAGAATGTATAAATAACTCTTCTATCTCCACCCTAAGGAAACAAACCACTTAACATCTGAAATATTTGAAGCAACACTAAAAAAATAAAATATTGAAAGAATCAATAAGAATATGAAAAGATGCTGAGAACACTTAGTTATCCATGAAGTATAAATTTAGCCCATGAGAAACGACAAGAAAATCCATGATATGGCTAAAATTAAAAAGACTATGTAATGGTTGAAATTTGCTTTCCACTCACAAAATTTATTTTTCAGATGACCTATACTTGTTGACTCATAACAATGCCTCCCACAAATCCAATTGGAGGCCCAGAGCCTCATGCAGGCCTGTTTCACGGATCTGCACTGGAAAGGCCTAAAGGTCAGTTGTGGATTCTAGGAAGTCTGTACCAGCAGGAAGAAGGATCTTTGCTAGCAGCCTGAGGGATCTGCACTGGAGCCAGGAAGTGATGCTCAAAGTGAGAACCAGAGCTCCCCCAAAAGGTACCACAGCCATCCTTAGCAACAGTGAGGTCCAGAGCTCCCCGGATGATCAAGATGGCTGAGTTCCCGACAGCAAAGCTAATGCAGCAAGCTTCTCCCGGAGATCTACAGTGCAACATCTTCCCCTCCAGAGCCAGGAAGCGATGCTGAAAGTGAGGACCAAAGCTTCCCCAAAGTGAACCAAAGACATTCTCAGTGCCAATGAGGTCCCGAGCTCCTGGGAGGATAATAACAGCCAAGTTCACCAGGAAAACCAGCATGACGAGCTCCTCCAAAACAACCAACAGCTCCTTTACAGCTTCTACCAACTTCCCATAGCCTCTCTCAGCTCCCAGACTTCCTCTGCTCCCAACAACCTCTCTGAGCTCCCAACAACCTCTTTTCTTCTTTTCCAGGTCTGCCTCTTATGCTGCTGGCAACAATCTCCAGGTGGACCTCCCACACCCAGCACCACTCATACTCAGTTCAGCTGCGGGTAAAATTACCACCAGTTATCAAGCCACTACAAGAATTATTCAAATTAAACCTCTGTGTTTCTGGTCTAGGAGAAGCATTGCCACCAGAGGGATACAAGGAAGGAACTTGTAAGCACTGAGTGGTGACTGAGACAAACAATCAGATAAGTAGAGGGCTCCCTATGGAGCAACTGCTTGTGGGCATTTTGGACTTGTTCCTAAAAGTCTGACCTCAATGAGCTTATTTGTCTAGTGGATATAAAAGGATCGTCTACCTTTAGGATGTTTTTTAGGATCAAATGAGAAAATAGAAAAGCAATTAGCTTCTCTTACCTGTTTTCTTATGATGACTGTACTTGAGCAAGCTATTTTTCTCCTTGTTGAGTGGAAGCTTCTTTCATTTACTTTGGTTTCTGTTTATGCCTTTCCTACATGGTGCTGGAGAATCTTTTATTCTACTTTTGCCATCTATGCTAAAAACCTTTTTGGCAAATCAAAAGTAGCAGAATCACTGGGATACGTGCTTTCAATGGGTTTTTAAATACCCATTCCAAAATGCATAGGTTGAGGTTTCTGTGGATAAGACTTAGAAATATGTTCTCACAACAAATTAACAGATAAGTCTTTGCTTGTTTTCCATTCTTGTTTTTTTTTTTTTTTTTTTTTTTTTTTT